TAAAATTTTATGCCTTATGCGCAATCCATTTAGTCAGAATTTCACGAACAAATTGCAACATTTGTTTGATCAAACGGGACCTTCTGTCTTAAGCGAGGTTATTATACCGCGATAGTAAAAACAGGAAGGAATTAATTTATAAATAGCCACAAGAAGGCTTTTCTGCTTAAAGCATAAAAAATCTTACAAGGTTGTTTTGACATAAAAATTATAGGCGTGTTTGGAGAGAATACCTGCAGCGTGACAAATTACCATCGAGCTGTCTTTACAATAGCCATGTACCTGTTAATTCGTCTTGTCTTGCAGTACAAGAATAAAAAAGGGCATCCATAAAGATTGTGTTTGCGAGATATGGGAAGGAAGTTGTGAAATATCGCGTGCAAACAACGCCATTTTCTTCGTTCCTCTAAGCATAACAAGATGCGCTCCAGGATACTTAAGGCTAGCCTGATTTAAGTCTTCCTTAAATTGTCATGGTAATTGCCCGTTTCACCTGTCGAATTTAACTTTTACTGGGGACGCGTACCGTGCCTAAGCCAAGTTAGTATGTTGGAAATCTAACCGCAGGGTGAACAACAATGGAATAATTCTGATGTTTTCTGAACGAAGAAGCCTCGTTATTGTGTTCGTCTCGAGTGAGATAGAAATGCAAAGGTAAAAATTAGGCGGCTGTGTGAAAATGAGCGGGTATAGATATCGGACACTATTGTCAAATTATAAAATTTTTTGTGTTTAATTTACATATAGTTTAAATGATTTTTAAATCATATTTAAAAAGGGAAAAGTCTTTACCTAGCACGATACTGAATTTCTGAACTTTTCTTTGAGTAAACTCATTCCATTTCAGGGTATATATTTAGAGGCATTTAAAGTAGCGTGCTTGAATAGAGTTACTGGAATGCGCGCCCTTTTGCACATGCGAACGGTACTGTTCTTGTTATTTCGTTACCGACCCATGCGAAAAGATGTAACTGTAGTTGTAAAAAAATTGGAGCCGTAAATGTGAGTGGTTCACACACGATGCAGTTCGGACTTGTCTAAATGAAATTTGAGTGCGAGTGTTTCGAATTGCTAAACATGTGGGAATCTTTCAGCGATTCCGTTTTGTAGTTAACTTAATCAATCGCGGCATATGTATCGCGGTGAGCATGCGTGCAAGTAAATAATACTTGTTATTGTTTTAAAAACTAGAAGGACAATGCACAGGTTTCTGTTGGTTCAACCAACTCTGTTGTGTAGCCCTATAAAGTCTTAAAAAATGCCTCAAAAAGATGCCGTATTGAAACTGAAGGGTTATATCCTGTTTGGACAGCTTGAACTGAAGAACTACATCTACCTAACGTTTGAAATGATCTTGAAAAGTGAAATCTAATTTTCAACTTTGTGATTTGAAAACTCTTGTTCATAATCCTTTCCTAGTTCTTACCTGTTTTTGTTTTGCCTTGGTTTATCACTACTCTTCTCGTCCTTTGATTCGTTTCGAAGCTACCTTTAGTGTAAGGTGCAAAAATTTGGTCGTGTGTTTATCCTCACCGAGTTCAGCCATCCCTAATCCTCTTTAGTATAGCACTTTCTCTTTAGAGCTATTTTCCTACTAAAAAACCGTCTGCTGTTGCCAGGAATTTTCCAATTTATATTAAACGTATGCATTCCTTTTAAAGATAGATGGAAATTGTAGACAAATAACTGAGTGATTTTCCATGAGTTCATCCGCTCCGAGTTCAGCCATTCTTAATCATGTTTAGTATGGCACTTTCTCTTTAGTATATATTTTTAGTGAAAACCCGTCTACTTTTGACGAGTTTTTTTCCAATTTTATGTTAAACGTAAGCATGCTTGTTTAAGGTAGATGGAAACTGAATAATTTTCCATGAGTTTTATTATATTTGTATGATATATATATCAATATATATATATTGTTTTATTATGTTTTTTTTTTAAGCGAAAACCATCTGCCTTTGAGGCAAGCATTTTAGCTTTAGTAGATGGAAATTATGTATAAGTGGCTGAAGTCATTTCTAAAAAGAAATCTCACGGGATGAATTTTTCGATTATACGAGCTTTAATTGAAAACTCGCCGTAGTGTCTATCCTCGTTATTTCAGCCTCGATTTCTTGTTCAAACAAAATGACGGTGAGATGCTTCTAATTACTACTGTCCTCCGTTGTGTAAATGGTAATAATCATGTTGCTAATATGGTCTCAGTGCTTGGTCGAACATTTTAATAGAAATTTAGGTCGAAAAATAGTCACTTGAACCGTTTAAATTTTGTACAAGAAACACGCAGTGCAAACCGCGTCGCAAAGATTACTCGATAGTTATGGAAAGGTGTGGGAGGGCCTTGGGGAGTCTATCAACAACCTGAATGTTATATATCTAGTAGAAATACATCTGTTGTCGAGGGGATGAAAAATGTTATGAAAGGTACAAATTATTTACCGCAAGCTTTTGACTTGAAGTTCCAGTAAAAATTTAAACGACGAATCAAATTTTCTCAATGATTGTATTTAAAAAGGGAAAGCTTGGCAATTTTCTTTTTCTCCTTGGAATAACTCTGGTTATAAGGGTTCCAGGAAAATGCACGGATGGTTTACGATTTCTAGGGATTGCCCTAGCAAAGTCTATATGCGTCTAATGATTTTCTCGTAAGCCCAAATTAAGATGCACCTTTTTATCCACGACATTCTAGCAGCACGTGACATAGAGAAGTCTAAGATCTACGATGTTGTGAAAGTAGCAAAAATGATGAAGCATAGTCACTAGTCACATTAACGCGGCGTTTACAATGTTACGTTTGGGGTTAGAATTTTTTTCTACTCACCACTGAGCGATTTCTTTTCCAGAATGCCCGTTATCTTGCTTTGTTTATTTAAGTTGTAGAGGCAACTTGTTGGTTTTGAATATAACAAAAGAACACCTTTTTAGTGTGCTCATATGAATTTACATAATTGACAGGAGATCAAAGGATGGTCTTTTTCGGTAGAAACAATATGGTGTTCCTCTCTGTTGGATATTTGGTGTTTGTTGCCATATGGGCGCCTTGGGGTTTTCGTTTTTAACATCTCTCTATAAATATCCGTGGAGAAATCATTAGCAGTTACCTCCCTGAGGTCACTATGTAGTACTAAACCTACTTGTCCATAATAATACACGTCATCTTTCTCTTTTCCTTTTTTTAACAGGGAAATAAGATTCGTTTTTTAAATTTCTATAGTGAGTTGCACAAAACCTTTGTATCTGATATATATTTTACATGTATGACAGTATCCAATCAGTCGTTTTTGTTTTTATTGTCATCTGTTGCTCATTTCAATCAACTAGTAGCCGGTTTGTCAAAATTGTAGGAACCGGGAACAAATACGATTTTGAGCAAAAAAAATTGTTTTTTGTGAAGGTAATCCATATGCTTTCGACTGCAATTTGAAATAGGTAATAGTAATTTTTTAAAAACCAACAAAATTACGCGAACTCCTAGCCCGAGTACAAAATGCAGTCTGGAAAGTTGTATGAGTGCTTGTTTACTCCACATTGCATGATAATGATCATATTATTTGAGTTTAGAGTCATGGAACTGTATTCAGGTGAAAAATACTATTTTTAAGAGGTTGTGGATTTATTCTGGAGTAGTCAATCACTACTATTATGTCGTTCACAGACTGATCAGAGTTGTTCCGATTTTTTCGGTGGATGGAACAGACTATTCAAAGGTTCTTGACTTCATACTATTACACCACAAGCTAATTCTAAGCGTAAAAGATTTGTTTTTGAAAAACTGGGCCTGCGAAATTAGTGCAGCCGGGTTAAAGTGGCGTAATTTGTCGCTCTGTCTTGAACGATTTTTATGTTAAATATTTTATGCTTTTATTATCCTTTGAAATCGAGTCGTTCCATTTAAGAAAATTTATCTGTTATCCTTTCCATGTCATACAATGTCAGAAATGACGCACATATGAGGGCGGCAAACAAGTATCTCGATCCTTTCTATAGTAAAATTTTTTATTGGCAGTTTTACTTTCGGTGTAATTAGTTAATATGTAGGTCAACGTCAACCTTTATCTGTTTATGAACCCATCAGTAAAAGGTATTTATGTTATTATGAAGAACTTTAAATGTATTGCCATGAAAAGAAAGAAAAATGTTTAAGTGCTTCTTCAAAACGCAGAACATTGAAGTTAGCTGGTCGTACACTCATGCTGTGAGTACATAACAAGGAAAGCCTTGAAGATAATAGCGTTTTGGCCTGAATAAACAAATTGCTTTATCTGATTCAGGTTTTGATAGAAAAGCTGAGTTATTCGCTTTAATAGGATATTAGTGGTACATGTGAATATATACTTTTGAGTTTCTTATGGGAAACAACATCGTTGAACTGAATGAAATCTTCATGGAGAGATGAACTAGGTGTATTTTGCTAGTTTACTGGGAAAATAAGGGAAGCTTTTATTTTCATTTGAAATAAAGCCGCTCTGCAGGGAATCATCGTAGTGTTTTCAAATCGTGGGAGAGTGGAAGGTTATCACGCTTTATTGAGTTTTTCACAACAAACCAAATGTGTAAAAAACAAACAGGAACATGATAGCTAAATGAAAAACAAAAGATGAAAAAGATAATTATACGATTGTAAATCCATGAAGCTGCACGCGTAAAATCATAAACCTCCTGGCGATCGCCATTATTACTTTCGACCTGGTTAGAGTGAATTTCGCTTAAAACAGCGCTTTATGTGTCAGAAAAAGTGTCGAAAGCAGCATTTTAATCTGTCAAACTGAGTAACAACAGTCAGTAAATGCACCGGACGTTTTGCGCAGGTGTGTTTAAAAAGGCCAAACGCTCATTGGCTGATGAATCGTTCGTCTTTTTGCCTGAGGAAATCATGATTCATCTTCCGCTTAGTGGCGTAAGAGATGCGCACCTGCAGAATGGATATTCGCTTCATTTAGGCCATTTAGCATGCTGTTACCTGACAAAACGAACAAAAAACTTACTTAACAACTGAACGGGATAAATTGGCACGCAAGGCATTTTATTCAAGGAAACTCGGCTGTCATTCTAACACACCTACTCCAGCAAAAGGCAAAGGTTGGTGTCGATTTTGGACCTCTTTCCTAAATAATATATAGAGCGGAAACAATAACACTTCTTGAGCGTGCGAAAGATAATATGGTGTTGACATTTGTTAAATTGAAATTTGTTACTTCAATACCCATCCATTCTGCTTACAGCTTTATTGTTTGATACATTTTTCATGATTCCTCGTCCATTTTTAAAGGATGAAATGTGCAAAAAAAGATAAAAAATCTATTTTGCAGCAATTTAATATGCGAAGACAGATTTGGTTGCAATAACGTCGGAGGAAACTTTTAAATTTGGCCTCAGGCTGTTTATCAAAAAACCAAACCATTTATTTTTCATTCTCTGTGGGATTTAGATGAAGTCTTTGCCCCCAAATGATGTGATTGTCTATTTTTTTTAAGCAATCGGGAATTTAGTGTCTTGCACCAGTTTTTGTCATTCTATGACAAGTGTTTACTCCTCTCCGGTTTTTGCGCGAGATAATTTGTCGATGTTTTGAGGTGAGAATCTCCTGTAATGTAAGTCTTTTTCTATTTGTTGCAAAATGCAGCTAACTCATCTTTGTTCCTGTAGAAAACTTGGATATGTTCGGATTTCGACATTTATATTAGTTAATCAACTTGCAACGTTTTTATGTAATTATAAGGAACACAAACTAACTCTGCTAACAAAAATTAAGACTGGGAATTTTTTTAGATCGATTTCAATAAGTTTCGATTTAACGCCCTGTTTCCAAGTTTACAGTTTTGCAATTATTCCATTATCAACTCGCTGAGACAAAGTCATGAGAATCGTTGCTTTGATTCTGGATGATGTTTTACCATTGTAACTATCTGGCGCTTTTCTTGGTGCCTCTTTATAACGTTGGAAAAATTCAGGGAAAAAAAATGGATGTTCAGGCACGCTATCAACGTGAGGTGCCTTTATTTCTCGAAATTTCTTCCAAAATTGACTTCTTCTAAGAAAAACTGAATCATCTCGGCGGGAGAGCACTTGTAATTCAATATGAATGTCTGTTTTAGTCCCAAGTTTTGTAATCTGAATCAAAAACGCACTATATTCCTAACATACGTTGGAATAATTTCTAATGATGTTTTGTTTTCCGGCTACAGTTTGAAAGTAAATGAGGAGAATTAGAAAAGAATGGAAAGCAGAGGGTTCACACTGTCGGCCAGACGCCGGGCGCCGGATCATCTGTTTCTTAATAATGTAAAAGAAAATTGTAAAGAGAATTGATTGAAAACGGGACATTTTGTCTCCGCATAAGTTCATTTTTCAGCTTAGCAAGACCAAAACTCGACCCGGTATATGAGCCGTGATGACCGGCGAATCGTTTAATATCGTTAATGGAAAATTAAATGATTATAAAATAGTGAAAAACGAGACTTTGCTTTGAGGTAAAAGTAATTTAAAGACGTTCATGAAATACTTTATTCTAGGAACCTTGCATTTTCCAGTTACTTAACGTATGTGTTCGAACTGATTTTCGACTTGTCTTGCAGAAACATCTTCCGTAAGTGTAGGAAGGCTTCACAACGTCGTTAGATCAGGTAATGATCACGTTCGTTTCTCCATGTTGTGCAGAGCATGCTGAGTGTTCCATTCGTGATGAACATCTCATGTTTGGTACGCCTTGTAGGCAATTATGCGCTTCTACAGTGCAGCCGTCATGTTCTCTGTCAGTTTCTCTCGTACTAGAACACTGATCCCCGTGGTTGATAGGACTGCAGCAAACTGATCGAAGTGACATTTTTAGTTTGGAAGGTTTTTCTTAATATTCCGCTGCATTAAGGGCTGGCGCAAGTTCTCGCTACGAGCAAACTATGTCACTCAATAAGTAATTTGTGCCTTTTAAGAACAACTTGCAACGAGATTCGAAATGTGCTGTTTTGTAAACTGTATGGATATTCTTTGAATTCACTCGTCAATTCAGTGAATTGAAAAGTATCGGCACGTGTTTAAATTAAATATATAGATTTAGCCAAGCCTAAAAGCGGAGCTCTTTTTAGTTTATTTTCCAGCCCTTCATTATGATAAAAACTGTCATAAAACTCTTCAGCACTGGTTGTAGGAGAATTTCTTCAAGGGGATTTTTTTCGAATATCTTTTACTGACTGACTTGAAAAAAACAAGCATTTCTCTTGCATCCTTGCAGTTAAAGGTTGCTCAAATATTTCTCACACCCTACACAATGTTACAGTGAATCATGGTGATCAAGTTTACCTTTTATTCGATCGATCAAAAATTCATCCTCTATCGTGCGAATGCCTTAGTTGCTCTTCGCTCGTATGGGCTGAGAGAGGGGTGCAGTTTGCGCTCGAGGCGTATCACAACTGTATCATGCATCATTTTAAAAAAGCACAACTGAAAAAAGAATATGTGCAAAACATACTGAAAAGCCATTTATTGTCTGCAGAGTCTTAATTGCGACAACAATAGTTTCTTTCTTCTTTGTCAATTCACAACCCTTTTATTTGAATAATTCTCAGTCAGGTCGCCAGATATGACATGTTTGCGTCTGCATTATTATAATTCGAACTCGTTAAGTTTCGGTAAGATTCAATGTTAACTGCGACTTTTTCGCGGCCAAGAAACAAAAATTTCACTTAACAACCCTAATCCGAATTTAGTTAAACTTTTGAATCAAGCAATTGTATCAGGTTAGGGCTAATTTCATTACCATTTTTTTTCATTTCTACTGACGTGTTATGGCGCCGCAACGACTATTATAAGATATAGTTTTTCGGGATCTTCTCCTACCGTTTTCGTTGTACAGACTCCAGAGAGGTAGAGTCCAAGAGGATAAGAAAATGTTTTACACTTGCAAACGTTACAACTGGATTTCAAATTCACATCTCCACATTTCCTTTAACAAAAGATGTTTTAAGGCGCATTAAATGTGTAAATTTCTTAAGTGGCAGAAACACCTTAGGCAGCTGTCCAATTGTTTCGTAACATTGATACTCATATTGCAATATTTTATTCGTTATTGTTTCAATAACGCTGGCACGCCTCGCAAACATAGATTTTGATAGCCAGTTGATACACAGTGGCGCATAAGGCAAACAATCAACTTTAAAGCATTTAGCTGTCTATATATTACCATAAAAATTGTATTTACTTTTACGGTGAAGAAGAAGAAGAATTTTTTTTTATAAAGGAGTTGATTTGAGAATCAGTGGGAAAACTCGACAAAATCAGAATTAATCTTTGGCGTTTGTTGAAACTGAAAACACATTTCCAATTTTCGGGGGATTTTCTTAGAAATTAATGGTAAGAGCCTTCATTCTTGAGGATGTGGCACAAAGGAAAATTCTGGGTCCGTGGACTGGATTCAAGGCCATGGTGTATGGAATAACAATAGGCGGATCCCAACCATGATCCCCAGGGAACTCGGGCTGCACCACATCATATGTTTACCGTTTTGTTTCTAGCGTTTCATAATCGACATTTATTCGATATACAATCGATAATTTCCAAACGGGAGAACTGAACCTCGAGAAAAATGTGGTATTATCTCCTTTACATGTTCAAGTGCTTTCTGAGATAAATAACTCAAATGATGGATTCACTACACGGAGTGGGAGTTGTTTCATATTGAAACTGCTTGTAAGCGGCTGTCTTGGAATTACAAGAATATAGGAAATGGTTATAGCATTATCCATCTAGCGGGGAAAGGGGTACAACCAATGATGTACCATGCGAAGAATGTTACGCCTAGTAGGAGTACATATTCTAGCCTGTGATAGATTTTGGGTTGGGATTTCACGATACCAGTTATTCAAAGGTTAAGGAAAACCACCATGAATTTTATTAGGCTAAAGTTATACGGTTTCTTAAGAGGAAAGAAAAATATCGTTAAGTTTTTGGTGTTTGTCTTCCCTTCATCTTAGAAGATATTTTAAGGATTTGATGCGTATCTGGTTATTTGTAAAAGTTTGCTTTTTTGTTGAAAGTGAATAACAGGGTACGTGTTTTGCCTGTTTGGTATATAGCATGTGAACTAACTTCATCTACCGCTTCCATCCCCCCGTGGAACTTTATCCTTGAAAACTAATGAATAACTGTTTGAATATAATGCATAAACTAACATAACTAAAAACTTATTCTTTATTTAAAAAAACATGTGTTCTGGTTTCTATTTACCTTTCAACCAAACTTGATTTAGTCATTTATCCTTACTCAATTCTAGCGGTTGAAATTACTATGATTAAGCATAAAAAATAATTGCTAGAATTTTAGTTTTGAAAGTGTCGACGAGAATGTTTTTTTTTTCTTTTTTTTTTTTTGATACGCATTTTCAGTTTGCGCACCGTTTTCCGTCACGCTTTTAAAGATAATTTAGCCAGTTCTTTGTCGGCAGTGCACCATAGTTACATTTCTTGAATATCATAGCAATTGTCTAGGGAAAGCAAGCAATCTCAGTTATTACCAAGCCACTTGCAGACCCACCAACTTTAGCGTACGTGTTTTAAGTTGGTTTCTTGCTGATAAAGCATTGCACATATTTACTCTTTGGTGGTTTAATAATGATTTAAGTGAAAGGAAAAACGATTCTAGAAATTGATGTCTAGAAGTCCAACTTGCGTGTTTACAGGACTACTTTAAATTTTTATTAAGCTTCTTTAAGTCAGTTGAATAATTTATGAATCGCAGTTAATCTATTTGTTCAAAAATAAACTTCACTTAGTCCAGTGGACTTGGACAGCATTCATTGTGTGCGTGTTACAAGCCGTAAATAATATTATTGTTGAATGATTTCCACATCTGGTATTTGGTGACGAGCCACGCGGATCGCTCATTCAAAGGTTAGACGCGGAATTTATTGGAATTTTCATCTTTCAAAGTATCATCGAATGCCGTGAATAACACATAAAGAAAACCTAGACATGACAGCGTTTACATAATGGCGACAGGTACTTAGAGAAAATCCACCGAGTGAGGGCGGCGGACAGGTTGATGGAAATCACGTTGTTTATTGACTTGTGTGAAAACCAAACGAAACGAAGCTATAACAGATGAGCAGGAAACGAAAGGCAGGCGCTGAACTAAAAAGTCTCTGCTTGAAAAATAAATTAAACTAAGGATAAAATTGATTCTTTCTTTTGACTTTCACCTTAGATTTTGTTTCATTGATCGCTATGAATCGTTTTACCTTTTATGAGCTGTCGAAAACTCATTTTCCGAAGTGAATGTTGTGTTTAGATATTAAAATGTCTTCAGCGCTCTTAAATCTAACCAAGCCCTGAGGCGTTCGCTGCATAACAGCTTTTTGTGGGTGAAATGTGCTTTCACTTCGACACTCGTAATTTTGTGTGTCAAAACTTCAATTTGATTTGATTCGTTCTGTATAAACTTCTACATTTTTGTTTCCGTTTAGCACTGTTTTACAACACTCCGGTGTGTTAAGGTCTTTGTGATAAGATGATTGTATAGAAAAGTTGAATGGCACGGATTTAGGTTAAACCTTGGATAGGTGAGGTAGGCCGGGAAGACGAAAGAAATAATACGGGAGAGAGAGTGACTACCGCGCGCATGTTGATCTAAGTTTAGTCGATCGTGCAGTCACATCATCCCGGTGAAGGTGGTACTAAGAATGACTGTGGTCGGTTGGAGTGTCTGGAGTTTGTAACCTTAATGGAAAACATCACCAAAGTCTCTTGACCTTGGTGACTCCAATAAATGATTTTTTTTTAAAATTGGTTTAACAAGCTACGCGAGACAGATCGTGAATTTTTGATAAATTCTTCTTCAAAACCATCGCTTCATCTAAGTTTATGAACTGGAATCGATCTTACACGACGTAGACAATGATGAATTTTACATGATGAATCTTACATCTGCACACCTTTAGTTTACTTTGTATAGTATCTAATTAACCTCTTGCACTGTAATCAAACCTAAATTTCAACGGAATTGCGCAGGGGAATGTTGTAAATCGTTTACTTCTATGTAAGCCTTCTAAACTTAACCAACAACACGGAGTATAACCCCGTGTTAATGGAGCAAAGTATTCGAGCGACCTTTTGTGGGACAAAAAATACTAAGGTGAATAATTATTATTTTGTCGTACTGGGGTCTTTTTTGTATTTTCTCGAAATCGTAAATTTGATCTGATTACAACTGAATTTAAATACTAGAAAGAGGAACAACAAAGTACAGTTAAAGATACTACAGAATAGCCGCGTGTCGCGCTGTTTTATCGGTCTGCAATCGCGATCGATATGTAAAAACAATAAAGTTTTCTACTAGAATCTAAGTATAACAAGAATGTAACAAAAATTGACTTACCTTTTTGCTTGATATGATATATTCTTCCTGAGCCAGCTAAACTCGAGGTGATTTGAGGTCGCTTGACGCGATTCTCGGTTTCTTTTGACTCCTTCAAAGTTCAAAAGAGGAAAGTAGCCATCCTAGATTTTTATCACCTAGGACAACAATTTTCTTTTCAAGTTCATTGAATGTAAAATAGCTGCTTATTGTTTGAGCCACGGCAGCTAATTGCTGTAGCATCCTTTTGGGGATTCAACCTTTATTTCAAAGTCTTTCATTAACATTTAATCTGGATGAATTCTTTCATTCTTAGGTGTAAACTATTACCAGCCCTATATTTACAGCAGTGAAAGAATGAAAGGCCATTAAGGGAGCGAAAAGGCCGTTATCTTTGTGTGTAAAATAGCAAACTCAGTGTAAACAGAGGCTGTTTTTTTTATTTGTAAGATAACGTTATCATTTGTCGAGCAAGTTTTAATTTAGACCAGTATTACAAAGTGTTGTTGTTTTTCGTAAGTGCAAGGGATTAGCAATGTGGCCTGTACATTTTGTTAACAAAAAGGAAAATCCGATGTAAACAGAGACTAGTTTTGAACAGATTAGGTTTTCGTTGCCGTGATGTAGTTCGTGATAATTTGGGAAACAAGTTTACGTTTTTAACGGTATTTCTAAGTCCTGCTGTTTTCATTACATCTGAGAGCGATAATCTTGACCCCAAATAGTGAAGATAAAGCAAATCTGACTGTTGCTGATGAGGGCAGAATGTGCATGAGTTGCTGGGTCATTTTTCATCGAGATAAAGTATGTTGCTCTTGTGTATGTTGAGCATTGTTTGTCATATAATCACTAGGCTGTGTTTCCATGCGTAGCCTTAAAATATACCTGGTGAATTTGTAAACTGAAGTAATTTTCATCAATGGTTTTTCCGCCGTTGTGCGTAGGCGGAGCCTCTTGATATTAGGGAAACAAACTACCTTACTGCCGCTGTAGACGATATTTTTAAAACAACTGCCCCAGGTACTGTCATACATGTTGGTTTCTTTTCCAGTTTTTATTAGTTTTGTAATAAGTAGCTTCATTTAAAAATTCAAGAATTAAACTAAATTGAATTTTTAATTGTTTAGACCCTCTTGGAAAGCACTTTTAATGTATTCGGTATACAATTTTGCTTTTCTTTTCTCCATGACCTGCAGTTGTGGTCACGGACACATCATTGTACAGTTGAAAACTGAGGCAAGAATTCTTAATTAAATCAGTCCTTGCATGAGAGCAGCAGAGCGATTACCTCTAAAATTAGAGCCCAAAAGATTTTGCTAGCAAGTTCGAATATCTGTACAAATTATGGATTAAAACAAGGGACGAGATGACCCATAGATAATATTGTTGAAAAAAACTTTGATCCATTTTACTGATCACAAGGTGACTAATACTTGACAGAATGCAAATACCACTGTGTTGAGCACAATAATTACAAGTTTGGTTAGTGCTGTTTTATTTCAGGTACAATGTTTGACTTTCTTCAAAGCTTTACTGTTTACTTAAGTCGACAAAATACATAAAGAACCATTCTAAGAATGTGTTTTACAGCTGTTTTACAAAATTTAACATTTTGACATCGTTACTCAAAGCATTCCCGCAATTTCCTTCCATAGTTGTTTTTTCTTCATAAAAATGTTTGTTTTTTGAGAGCTAATTTGACCTGCGTTTTTGGCTTCAAAGCGAGCGCTTACAATAGAGTGAGTATGTCATTTATTTTGTTTACAAAGGTTCGCAGAAGCGTACATCATTAATTAGGTCTTACCTTTGTGGTGAGTCCAAAGGGATTAAAATTGTTTTAATGCATAAGGATAGGTCTGTTAACTAAAACGCAAGCTGACGGCTAAAAGCGCTTGTCCCTTCCTTAGTTTGCGTGCTCAGGTAGGATTTTGTTTTTCTTTTGCAGTTACTTAGGGCTTAAAGAGGTTTGAAAACGAATAGTGAAGTGCAGGAACTTGTCAAAACAATAGACTACAATTTTTAATTGAAGACACTTTATAGCTCGGTTGTTGTATTCCTGTTCACCACTCAGCACCCAATGTGTTATCAGGGCATAATCTGACTGATTTCCAGTCGTTTCCGACAGAAGAGCTGAAATCATAAACAATCTCAGCAGAAGTCGTATTATGTCGCTCAATGGGTGGTGTATTTTGAAAAGCCCTAATAACAGCAGTACATGAAAATATTTAATAAGGCGCACAGTTTGTAGCTTGCCAAAGGCTTTGTTGACTTCACCAAGCTCTCCATTATTTTTGCAGGTAACATTACATGATTGTTATCTGTTACTAGACTCAGTGTGCAAGCATTCAACGCCAATTTAGTTTCGACTGCAAGTGGTTAAGTTCGCTGTTGTTCTTTTTCGTTTGCAGGTTTGTTTGCGGACATCTTTTCCTCTCGTGCTCAGACAGAAAACGAGAAGAGAGGATCTTTTAACACTTGTGACAGGTACGGTTTTGCCTCGTCTGGCTCTGCCCAGTATGCTACTTAACTGTTAAAACTTGTAATATACGTTTGCGCTAATGTTGCTATATTTCGTTACCGAAAACGTCTTAGAGCTTTAATTTTTGTTGCGTTTAATCAGGCACTTTTGTACTCTATGTACAATACAGCCACAAGTTGGAAATAATTTACATGCCTTGAACGATAGATATTAATGTTTAAATAGCTATGAAATGTTCTCGGTGTATTCGTGCTTGTGTGTACTTGCTTTTTAACTACACATTCCTAAACAGACCAGAAGAAAATGTAATCGGCGAGAAGTTTAATGTTAGGCACAACTTGTAGGGCAGTCTGAATAGCTTCGCCATCGGGGTCTATTTGTAAACAAAGACAATAACTGGAGAACCAAGGTTTATTTTCAAAACAAATTTTGCATTTAAATGTGTGTAATTCTTTTAGAAAGCACTTTCGTGTCTTTTCTGACGTCCACTGTTCAGTAAAGGTATTTGAATAACATAAGTATTGGGTTTGCTGTAGTCTTTACCTATCTGAATGACAATGCTATCAAAAGGGAAATTGTGTTAAATAGTTAAGGTGATTATATAACAGTAATCTCCCTAAGGGAATATGGGTGTTAATTAAAGGTACATTTATTTTGTGACAGCAAAAATATAGCTTGAACCTTTTAAAAAGGAATATGGTTTGAAATTTTAAAAAAGTCGAATTCTGAATACGCCTTTTCTTTCGATGATTGAGAAATTTTTCCATGCCTGAAAGAAATAAGTTCAGAAGTGAATTTTTCTTGAAAACAGAAATAGGATATTGTCTTATCTGGAGTTGTGATTTAGCAAAGAGTAATTGTCCTTTACTAGACGAACAAACATTCAAACCAAGTCTTTGTTCCATGCGTTTTAGAATTATTATTTTCTTTAGTGCTATGCATCGTTTGAGCCATTATGAAGCGTCTTATCACTAACCACACCATCATCAGTACGTTTTACGGTCTCACACCACCCACCCCCCCCAAAAAAAAAAAAAAAAAAAAAAATTAAATACCTGTACAAGAAGTCTGATTATCGATAAATCACAGGAAAATGCTGTTTTTCATTTGTGAAAACATTAGGAAAGCCTTTTGGGGCAAATTATGTTTCTCCAGACAACTAACAGTTAAATCAACGAGCTTCATCATGCTTAAACTAAAAGTATTTCATCTCACTTCAAAGGTCAACAGTTTTACAAGTTTTATTGGACCAACGGTTCCTTAATAATCATTCTTGACATTTCGCTTATTATGACCGACCCTGAGAAGAAAGGGCTAAATACTCAGTGTACAAGGCCATCAATTCCTAGATGTCAATGAACATTTGCGAAAGTGCTCCGATATCTTTTGGGGCGTACTCTCACAGATCCATCAATGTCGATCACTGAACAATGAATTAATGAGTTAAATTCAATTAATGATCAGGGTCACTGTCATCCGATTGGTGAAAATTGTTTTCTTGTGCAACCTGTATCTGTCGGTGAGATTTTGAATTAGGTTCTGTCCTTGTTGTTTTATCAGTAGTTGTTTTGGGAGCTTTCTGTTATGCAAGAGTATTTTGAAGCTTAATCGTGATTAAGATGCTAAAATTTGGACCTTTTCTGAACAAGCATATATCCATTCGAAACTCAAAAAGTGTTAGGTTACGGATTATCATTTTAACAGTACCTCTAGCTTAAACGATATTGATGAGTCTCGTGATGAAATTTCCCAAAAGAGCAAGTAATCTTTTTTCATATTAAAGTTAATTTTCGAAAGAAGCTATAAAATTGCATCCTTACAAACAAATTCAGAAAGTAGTGGCAAATGTGCAATCGCATAAGTAATTTTGTTTTTAATCAAAGTTAATGGAAATGACAGATGTTATCATCTTCGTTCGTATATGGATAGTTCACTGTAACCACTAACATTTTTCTATATTTGGAGTACAGAAAACTCCAGTTTCGTTCGTAGCTTCGGACAACCATTTCCGGGAAACGTTTTCGTTAATCAAACGTAGGTGATACCTCAAAAGTAAGGACTCCTCGAGTGTAATTACAGTAAAAGCGGTGCTAACGAGAAAGTAAGTAATTAACCAATATGGCAATTCAAAGGTTAAAGAACCTCAAGCACTCTTCATTGATATCATACGGAGACAAATTAATTACTTTTCTACCGCCTGGCATATCGGTTACCTTTGATACGGTTTGTGCTTTTGTTATCTAAATTGTGCTCGATGTTTACAAGATCTTTGTCTTGCATAAATTTCAGTTTTCTCAGCTCTCTTAAGTAGTGAACACAATGGGGCTGCTTTGATGTTCTACTCTGTAATACATTCCATCATTCCACAAACGTTTGCCTTTGAGAAATGTATTTGAGAGAGCAGAATATACCTTTCCATCTCATCGCAGATGATGAAAAGATCGTTTGCGATAGTTATCAAAGTTAGCCTCAGAGTGGCTGTCGAACGGAGTGAAAGCTAAAAAACAGAATTTTAAGGCTGCTTCATAACGCAACGTCCTCGACCACCAAACTGTGAACATATAAATTGGTGATAATGTAGTCAAATATAATCAATGAATTTTTTACATGCAAGTAGGTCACCTTAGCAAATTAAGGTTTCTAAGTCAAACACTAATTAATATATATAGATAAAAAGGACAAGACTAGAAAAATAAGCATTAATGATGGAAAGAATAAGGAGAAATTTATTTGATGTCCGTGGAAGATCTTACGTTTCAATTTTTTCCGTCTTTCCGGCACAAAACGCAAATTTGGCTTTTAGCGTGTTGTTTGATATTTGTGACCTCTGAATGAAGACTATGAATACTATGGTGTACCATAAAGGTTTGTTGATGTATATGATCCATTGACTTACATTCCAAGCGAGCGAGAAACAGTACACAATTCATTACGTAAGGCTTCTAGGGATGTCTATCTTTACTTCGTTATTCCAATCCATTACGCACAAGATATTGAATGTTACAACCCACCCATTTATTTTCGCGCTCTGTTATGGGCTCGTTTCGTCACGTGATGCCAAATCGCAGGACGGCTATCACGTTTTTTTCCTCTGATTATTATCTTCGAAATTTTTCCCCGGAGGTTCGCTTCTTGGTTACATATTTATTTTTCGGATATTTTTCTCTTTTATTATAAGGCGACATACCAACCGCCTGAAGCGGTTTAGTTACTAAACACGTCAGTGAAAATGCTTATGTTGGTAAATTTCTTTTTTTTTTTTGCTTTGTCAATTTAAGCGTCCATTCCTGAGGGTTTGAAGCCATGTTTTCCTTGTTATTTCTCATCGCAACACTTACCAAGTTCGCCCCGGAAACTGAAGCCATATTTCTCCCTTACTGGTCGAAAAGGAATCACTCTGAAACTTCCTTCCACATCCCGTTGTCTACGCTGGCGATGGACAAACCTTTTGGGCGAAGTAAAAAGCTACAGCATTACTTTGACCTGGCGACGAACTACTCCCTAGACAACCGCTGTACAACTGGATTGCCCATATCCATCGCTTGGCACTTGTACTCCCCATACACCACCGTCTATCGAACCAAGAACAAAGGAAGCGTAGGTCTATCGGTTGACGGCATGTTTCCGGGCATTCTGAAGGCTGCTTTGTCGGGCTGTTGTAATAAGAGCTCTGAAGTTTTGTTTGGAAAATTTTCTAAGTCTGTAAGGAGCGTAGAGAGCGACATTGAAAAAGACACGTTTGATTTGACGTTTCCTATCTACGGATACGACAACTCAGATATATTCAGGTAACTTCGCAGCATGTACAATATGCGTAATTTATCCTTAGATCTTAGAGCTATTTTCTCCAGCTAGTGATCATGTATATCAATGTTGGCCAGTTTCGTGAATGTGGTGTTGCATCAAGGAAATTGTTCTAAGGATCTACCGGGGTACTTAATCACTGGATATCTATTTAACAAATAAGCTATCTTTTGCGTGCCTTCTTTCAGTAATAGATCACAGACGACATCAAAATGTGATAAGAATACACGAGGCTGAAAGGCCTGTCCCGACTGTGCTCGGCAACTTTTAAGCAAATTTTGGTCCTTGTAGCACCCTTGTTTGGTTCTAACAGCCACGGGCAAGTTTTGTCTTTCTGAGCATTTTTTGAACAACTTTTAGGTTTAGGGCACATACAAAGAACAATAAAGTCAACGATTTCGCAAAAAAACCCCTTCAATTTATGCAAAGTTCTTGAATGTTTCGCAGGCGTATTATCTAACTTTAGAACAGCTGGGTACTTGGCTAAAACGACGCACAAAAATGGCGGTCCTCGTTTATTTACTTTCCGTGAACGGAAATGGATGGTTAGAAGCCGCCTTTATTAGTGAGCAACTCTTTTTTAAAATTAAGCTCATTATTGCGATGAACGAAAATATGGCTTTTGATTAACGTTTGTATGAAAAATATCAAGATATGTGGGAGGCAACTGTTGAAATTCGGGTAGCAATTTTACGGATTTTAGTCAATTTTTTTTAGCAACTTTTTGATATTACAGTGAGCAACTTTCCAGCATTTTACTAGCACAATCAGGACAGGCGTAGAGCCGAGTGTCACAGATGTGACGTCATCTAGGCCTCTGTTCTCCAAAAAATCGTAAGTGAGAGCCAATCAAAATGCGTGCCGGCGTGATGCAGCTTATTGCCGGCGTGATGAAGCTCATTGCCAGTGTGCTGCAGCTTATTGCCAGCGTGATGCAGCTTATCGCCGGCGTGATGCAGCTTATTGTATAAAGGACGGTGGTCGGTTTTAACTGCGCACTCTTTGAACAATTGCAACCAGATTCCATTTCATGATCTAAATCAGTTGATTGTTATATTAACTATAGTCGCGTACATCACAGAGATCCTGTTCAGTATTTCTTAACCCTTTAACTCCCAAGATTTGATTGTTAATTTTCCCCTCTTGCTGCTAAATAATTCCTTGTAAATTAGTTGCGAGAATGTGGTGAAAGATCAAGATAACAATTTCTACCTGATAAGTTTGGGTATTCTCATTAACTGTTTGCTAAAAATAGAATGGAAATTATTGGGAGAGGTAACACGTTAGTCACTTCTGGGAGTTAAAGGGTGAAGTATAAAACTAACTTGTGTCCCTGATTCAAAACGTTACTGCGTGGAAGCGAATAGTAGAGAAATAAGGGAGACTACTATAACCTTTTTGAAGATAACTCAGCAATCATTTTTTGTTTCCTCTTCGATACCAGGGACCGGCCGTTCATCAGTATTGTGAAGGCACCTCGTGTTATTCTTCTTGTGCACAATGAACAACCCGACAAGACTCAAACTCACGTTCTGATTACAACAATAGCCAACGCCTGGCCAATGCTGGTGTTTATACTCGTTACAGCTTCACTCTCTGGGATTATCATTTGGTTTCTGGTGAGCTGATTTTTTTTTCTTTTTTGTTTTGAAAATATCAAAGAATATTTTTTGAATTTTGGAGTAGGTTTTGGATTAAGACCTAACAGCCAAAGATGATTTTTGGCTTAGTTCTGAGTTTGTACGGGGTCCCTTCTATTCTACCAATGACTTACACTGAAACTCTAATTAGACTTACGAAACGTGAACTCTGTTCGGTTACGCGAGTCTGAGAAACTAAGTGTTTAGTTTTTGTTGAGTCTGTATCAATGATGTGTACCTATTGACTGAGTGGGAGGACCAGACGGAAAGATATTTGTCTCGAAGTCATGGCGTAAAGACTAAGCGCAGCGAGGTCCGTGAGTCATACAAAAACAAATACTAAGGAAAACTAAAATTATGAAGACGGAGAGTACTCCTTCACGTAGCATCCACCCCTGTGTTTTAAGACTTTGAGAAGTTCAGCTTGGCAACACGTAAGGAATCATTTTTTAATCACGTTTTATTTGTTTGTTTGTCTATAGGATCACACCAGCAACCCTGGAGAATTCCCACCACCATTTCTACGAGGTTCCTGGGAAGGCTTCTGGTGGGCACTTGTTACTATGACAACTGTGGGGTTCGTATATTTTTCTGAGGCAAATTAATCTCAGTAGATTTAATATTTATTTAGTTGTTTGTCAAAATCATACTTGAATATTACTATATTATTATTATCTTCGACCTGATTTAATTTTTGTTTTGAAACTTTATTATTGGTAGGTTATTTGAATGAATAAAGGGGGTAAAGAGTTTAAAAGATGACGTTTCGAGCGTTAGCCAATTTACGCTATCAATAATGCTAAATTACCCATTTGAATTAATACCTATCGGACTAATGGACCGACTGATGAATGACTGACTGACTGACCGACTGATGAATGACTGACTGACTGACTGACTGACCAACTTATGGCTGACTGTCTGACTGACTGACCGACTGATGAATGACTGACTGACTGACCGACCAACTGATGAATGACTGAGTGACTGACTGATGAATGACTGACTGACTGACTGATGAATGACTGACTGACTGACTGACCGACTGATGAATGACTGACTGACTGACCGACTGATGAATGACTGACTGACTGACCGACTGATGACTGAGTGACTGATTGTCTGATGAATTACTGACTGACTGACCGACTGATGAATGACTGACTGACTGACTGACCGACTGATGACTGACTGACTGACTGTCTGATGAATGACTGACTGACTGACTGACTGACTGACTGATCGACTGATGAATGACTGACTGACTGACCAACTGATCGACTCATTGACTGATTGAATAAATGGGGGTAGATTTCTGAAGAAACTGTGGTTTCGCGTCGATAGAAGGTATTACAAGATAATTTGGTTTTACCAACTGAGTTGATAACGTAAATTGGTTATCGTATAGAGTTTCCAAAGCTGACGTTACGAGCGTTAGCCCTTCTTCAGAGCGTTAGCCCTTTCACTCTGTCTCAAGCTTGATTGACTGATTGTTTTATTGACTCATTGACTGAATGATTAATCTTATAGTTATTGTTACCCTTTATCACAGGTATGGTGACCGTTCTCCTAAGTCAGCCCTTGGTCGTGTGTTCTGTATTCTGTGGATTATAACAGGTGTTATCATCATATCGATTTTCACAGCCCTGGTGACAGCTTCGTTATCTGCCAGTACCGTGCAGATTTTTAAAATTCACGGTTCAAAGGTATATTGTAAAGCATCCTTTTTCTTTCCTGAAAAAAAATATATTTTCCTTCTCTCCTTAGCTGCACCTGACCTTTAAAATGTGTTGCTTCCTTCAGTTAGAAGCTCAAAAAGCATAGATATTACCGAGGAACTTTTTATTAAAGAGAACTGTTTTCAATAGCTGAGGGTCCTTAATTTATTTATTGATTTGTTATAAAATAATTCTACCATGAAATTTTATCGACGCGCCATGTATTTATCGGTTTTACTATGAACCTATTACATATCATTTTGCTAATTATTTTATACGGAATATTATTTTGTTTATATTAGTTATAATTATCAATATTTATTAGTTATTATTATTTTTTACTTTTAGTTTTATTTTTGTAAAGCTCGGATTAAAAATACCCCAATTGATATCTGCGCTATATAGGTTAATTAATAGTAGTATTAATACTCTCTTTTCACTTTTCTTCCGCTAATTCTCCTGTTCCTCGTTGTCATCGTCAGCGTCTTCGAACGTTGCGAGGCTTCAGCAGTCTTGACCGGGGACGGTGACATGCTTAGGAAAACATCGACGTTATGAATGACAACTGTTGTGTCAAGAATTTTAAAGACTCAAGAATGCTAACCGTCACTAACATCGCCAGAGCTCTCTTCGGCTTAGCACGCAAAGGCAACTCTAAGTCGCGCTGTTTATAGCAGTGTAACTAATTCGCCCTTCGTGTTCACATAAAAACCAAAATTTGGGCATTTCACATTCTTTTACTATATAGGACGGCTTGAAAATACGTAATGAGCTTCGTTGCAGTTCTTCTCGTTAATATATTTAGCTCGCTGTGTTCTCTCTCAAGTCATCTTTGTACTATTTCACTCTACCTGTTGCTTATTTAATGGTTCATTTTATGTTTTATTCCTATTTTTTTTCACTTTTTGTTTATTTTTTTACATCCTGTGGCAGATCGGAGCAGTAAATGGGAGTGAGGAGTTCAAACTTGGTGTGACCATGAATGCTGACATGAAAGGTATCACATATGCATCAGTTATATACAGTGATGTTAGAACACATCCTTGCGATGTCAACGAGGCTAAGCGTAAAAGTGTTAGACAATTAAGGAAATCGTTGAACTGAGATTACCTTTGGGTTTAACTACATCGTTCTCTCGCACCCTCTCTGTATTCCTCTCAGGTCTTCTGTATTGTTTATAGCATTTTTCTTCAGTCAACGGCCGGGCTCAGACTCCACATCTCTCTTCATTTACACGCACTTACCAACGCGACGTCCTCGCGGGGGAAGGGGCAAGGAGACTGGTCGAGGGCCGTATTTTTTTTCGCCCTAAGTTCGCGACAAATTGATGAAATACCTCCTTATCCTGCTCACAGTCTTATTCTTCTTCATGATTCTAATCCTATTTTTTGTGAAGAGCAATTTGCCATTGAACGTCAAAAAAAATCTCTGATTGCTTTGGTTTTGCTTTACGTCGCTATGTGATTGGTCCAGAAAACTTGCATGATCCTCCCAACCAGGTTAAGATCGAAAACTAACACTTGTTCACTTGCGTCTAATAGCGCTTTAGGCAGTTTGCTTGTGTAGACTTTTCATTATTATCCTTGTGATTTTTTCCTTCGCTCTGATTGGCTGTTTTTATTACTTCGGTTCTGGTTTTGCAACATTCAATAGAAATGCGCTCCTGCAAAATATTGCGCTTCGTTTTTCCGCTGTTACGAATATTAGGGCATTCCGAGTTTCAATTTCCAGGCCCGGACATTTTTCCCATTGCGAAATATCAGTGCGTATTACATGGTAAACCATCGAATAAGGTATATGTATCATTTAGTGGTCAATTTTCTACCACCTTAGTTTTCCCTCACGTGATGAAAATGACGGAAGCTCTCTTGGCACACGAAATTGACGGTGCTCTAGTGGACAACTACGTCCTCACCCATTCGTTGAACCTGATTCAAAAAGAACCAATCAGAATCGAGAGGTACATCGATCACTCAATCACCTATGGAGTGGTGTTACCTAAGAATTCTTCAAGGTTTGAGAAATGTGTTCGAAGCTTCCTACAGAATCACCCACAGGAGATATTTGAAATCATTGCAGATAATTTGGTGCCACTCAAGGTAAGCGTTAACAGCAATTTTTGTTTCTTTTCAATTTTCTTAATCTTGTAATTCTTGTGTCAAGCCAGTGTTCGCTAGATTTCACTGGCACTATGAGATTTATGAAGTCATCGAATTTTTTCCATCCGGTTGAACAAGATAGAAACGAAACGGAAATTTGAGTGGGGGTCATTTTAAAGACTCTCAAAGAGCTCATGTGAAAAGAAACCAAAAGGCACCACCTAAGCGCCAAAAAAAATCAAACCAATCAAACAAAATGTAGGGCATATAAATTGAAAATCATTTATGATTTTACATGTAGTTCTAAGTTCCTCTCACTGAAAACTCAAGTTATCAAGCTACGTGGAATTAACACGAGTTTCTTTTGCATTTATTCTAATAGAATCCGACTGATGACGAAAACCAGCAGCTTAAAGCTGCAGAAGGTTTGTTTTATCAAGAAGATGTCTTTTCTCTCGTCATGTACATCGGACTTGGTGTCGCCGCTGTGTTCTTTATTGCTGGCTTCTCTTGGGAATTCTTGTATCGCAGACCGAAAATAAGTAAGCATTTCTGAGTTATTTCCCTCACAGGTGTACTAATATTTGAATGCTATTCTTATTGATGTAATCAGTCAATGTTTATCTTTTCGTTTCATCCAGATTTGTTGGTAACATTTACTACTGAAAAGAATTTCTTATTTATGTTGACTTACATGTTCTCCAGGCAAAAATCAAAAAACAACTTTAGGAGGGTAACACACAACAATAATTCAACTGATGAACTAGTGGCCCCCGATTCTAAAAGTACTATGAGTAGAATTAAAATGTAGTCGTATAAAACTGATCGACAGTTATATTGAAATTTAAGCTAAAAACTAGATAAAAATTAATAATGGTTGGGTCAGGTTAAATCGCATTCGGACTGAAATGTTCTACCTCATCATAGCTCGTTGAAAAATGTCTGTTAAAGGGCTTTCTGAAAGATGCAACCTTTGTCGCTTCTTTCTTTAGGGTAATGGGTAGTTCCACAATCTTGTCGCAGGTACGCTAAAGCTCCTCCCTCCCTCGGTTTCGCGATTGACAAAAGGGCAGGCACAATGAAATTTACTATAACGACCAGTTCGTGTGTGTAGGTCGGCGTTAAATTTGAGTAGATTGTACATATAAGCAGGACAGCTTCCTTGTAAACGCTTGAAGACTAAAGTACTCTTATTTAAATCAACTTCGTCGTAGAAAGGGTGCCACGCTAAGAGTTTCGCACTGTTCGACCTTCTGTCATTGATGATCGCCATTGAAGTTGTAGATTTTTGTAGTTTAGTTTGGAGTTGACGGCAAATTCAAATTGGAACTTCTTTTACCGTCTGCTTTCGGCTGCGCTCACACTCTAGTTAAAATATTCGCTATATATATGAAGAAGAGTTTTTTTCTAGTTTTGTTAAGGCTGATATAAGGAATATGGGAAAAATGAAAAAATCAGAGTCCATTTTTGTCGTTTGTCGTTGCCATAAAATTCATGCTTAAAATAATAAAGAAAGCTGTTGTAGCATCTGTTCTAATTTAGATTATTTTGGTTGAAACTTGATATTAGTGATGTTGTTGTATTTCAACTTTCGTTGTAAGCTTTCACTGTCGTCGTCGTCGTTATTGTTGTAAATGAAGTGTTACACAAATTAACTCTTCATCGTCTTAACAGCCCGTGATGAATCTTGATGCAGCAATTAATTGGGAATATTTGATAGTCAACAAACATTTTTCTTCCTACAGGAAATCAGCGTATGCAGTTTGCTCCTAAGGGTTCTTACTCAGTCAGCGAGGACGAAGTTAAACTTCACCCTCGCGACAACTCTAAACATGCCACCTTGGATATGATGATAGCCGAATACCAAGTGTTTCATGACCGCTTAATTGAAGGATTGAAGAAGCTTCGCGATCAAGAATTAGCCGCTGATCGAAATTCCAACGGTCGCACTCCCAACGGAGATGATGAAAAAGTTGCTGTGTAAAACCACACTGCTTTAACCCCTAAACTCCCAGAATCTACCAAGTAATTTTCTCGAAGGCCCCATTACATTTCTTTGTGGATCAGTTTGGTGAATTTCATTTTACATCAAGATTGCACCCTCCAGCCGATAGTTTTGTTTCTTCTCATTACCAAGGGCTGGATGATGTACGTAAAATTGTGAGGGGAAGCTATTTGTCGATCTCTTTTGGTGTTAAGAGGGTAATTTATCTTTTTTAGAAGTGATGTTTGTGTTCTTCCTCGATCCTGTTTCAAATTAAGGTGACTAATTTGACCACTTCATTTAAATCTTTACGTTACAATATGCACAACCTTTAGTTGTAGTAGTTGTAGTAACAATTAATCCGAATTGTAGGAATTGGAAAATTTACTGTGGCAGATGTTTTTATTTTTGCATAGGGTTAAAGTATAATAATTAGCATGAAATATTGTTTTTTAGGTGAAACCTTAAGTTTGAACTTAAAAAGAAAAAGGTGAAGAAAAGGTTCAAGTCAATACGAACATTTTGATTTACCTTATGTGGGTTATCGGTTTTGAAAAGGAACCACACACGCCCAAACAAGTATGTATTAAAACCTCCCCTCCCCTTTACCTGACTAACCTGTGTGGGGTGTGGGATCTTATTGAAAGCTGAAAGGAGGACAGTTAGGTGCTCTAATAACACTCTTTGCATCTGCGTTAACCTGTACAGTTTTCGCTTTCCCAGTAGAATAATTATGAAAGCGTGTTCCTGAAACGTTGTTTCATAAATGTGCTGTCCATGATAACTCGAATTTATCAATATTTAAAGGGTCAGCCGCATTCAATGAAGGCTGTACTTTTCGATTAAGCTGTATGTAATCAAAACTTAAGTAATTACAAGGGACACTTGGAACTTGGAGTAAATCTCAGAGTCTCGTTGTATAACCTGTATGACCAATAGGACCGAAGGGTTCAGGACTTAGTTCAAGAATGTTTCCGCAGCACAAGCGAAGTGTTATTTCTTCTATTAAAGGATTTTTTTTAATGCTCCTGCGAAGGGCATGTACATAACACCAAGTAACATTGAATACCTATTTGAAAATTGTTTAAAGTTAGAATTAGGTCTCGTTTCAAGGTTATTCAATAAAAAATCTTTTTTCTTGCTTTTTGTAAGTGGATACTGTTGTAGGGAACATCTTTGATTTCGGTAATTGGACGGCATTACGTTCGTCAGAACTTCGTGAGAGGTCGCTGATCGTCTGATTCTCGTGTGAGGTAAAAGGACGATTATGTGTTCGTAAGTTCCTCGTGAGAGGTCAGTAGTCTGACAATATCATGTTCGTCAGACAGGGTTTGGTATTTTCCTCAAGAAGTGGAATGTCATCTATGTCATCGTGGTTGTTCCAGGCAAAGTTAAAATGGTTTGGACTAGGAGTAAAATTGGGCTTTAATTTATTAGGAAAGGTTCTGTTACAGTTTCCCAGAGGTCGAATACTGAGTTTTGTGGGCGACATTCTGATTTAACTTTTCCTTAATATTTGTAAAGCAAAAACTTCAACAGCACCATTATTTTTTTTAAATCTTTTATCTTAAGTTATAGTTTTCCATGATATTTGGTTAGTATCGCTCCAAGTGGTGCAACCCACGGCAACCCAACCATGACCCCACACCCGAGGCACAAGGTGTATCTTTGATGCATTTTGAGGCCACAAAAAAGCAAGTTTACCCCAAGGATACGGCAACACTTCCCGGATGTTAACAGAGTAGGGGTAAAAGGTGGAGCTTTCTCACAGAAAACCATGAATGACCAACACGTCCTTATCTCCTTACAACATAAATAGGATAACTAATTTACTATGATCGATAAAAAACCGGTCGTTTCCTATCGCAGTAAATCCTTGGAAAAAAAGGAACATTTTGAGTTAAATCAGTATAAGAGATCTTGCTTAATTTCTACCAGTATAATGATACGATAACTTAGTTCGAAAAGGCTTGAAACTATATGCCTTCAGCTTGTGGATTATCCTAGCGGTATAACGATAAAAAGTGCAGTATTTTGTGTAACTTATCGAATGAGGTGAAGTCTAAGCTCTTTTGTCCATTCCGATATTAGCCGTTTTAACTCAGTGGGTTAGCGACTTGATTCTAGTTACTCTTGCTTTGGATTTCAGGTCTTATGATATATGATAGTATGTCGTGGGTAGAAGGCAAAATTTTTCCTCATCATATCAAAAGAACTTTCGCATCTTTGGACATACACTATGTTAGCTGGGTGCCACTGGGCTAGCTCATAAAAACCGGAAAAAGATGTAAAATTTTTCTGAGCCTGGCTCTACTCCAACGAGAAGCCGAAATAACACAAAGCCGTTACTGTAGTGTTAAAAGGAAACAGACGGATTTGGGTGACCTGCTTACAACCTTGTTGCCACTCAATCTGAATCATGTGATGACTTATTTGGAAGGCAAAAAATATCTTGTTTATTCATTGCCCCGTGCACTCAACTGAGTGTAAAAAACTGTACATTTGCAAACCTTCCAAACGAATGATCTTAATAATGGTCTGAATTTGGTGGTAACACGGATGTAAACACGCTACCCTTCTTCCCGTCCCTATGACACAGCTTCTGTTAACTATTAAACCTTAATTTGTTGTTTTAGTGGTTCTAAAAAGATGATTATCCGGCACATTTTCCTGTCTGTGAGAATAGTGCGATTTTCTAAGATATTCCACAGCAAACTGCACTTGAAAAAGAGTTACCATGTTTTCCCCTTGCATCCCAAGTAATGGTCTTTACATGACGTGCTGATCTCGTACCCGAATCTTACTCCATGTAACTGACCGTGAGGAGTCTGATTTGCTTTGCACTACCATGTGACTTTTGACTGAAACTACTGAAACTACTGAGGGGGCTAAGTCAATAGAACACCGACTCAATTTCAGTGATACACCTTAGTAATAATTACACCTTAATAAACTATAAAACAAAGAATGTTCTTAAGACAATAATTGTCCTGTGTTTAAACGGGACAATCTGCTGGATTTAACAGCCATATGGTTTCCCATGAAGCCTTTTACACTTTGCAACCCAAGAGTCGTGGAAAGCCTTATAATCTTGTAGAAGTTCTTCCAGATCTCCCTCAGTTGGGTTGGAGGCCTGGTCATCAGCCGGGTTTGTTTGCTTGACCAACTCAACGTTCTGGTAGTTGTTCTCCTCTCTCAGTCGTTTCGCTGCAGTAAAAAACAATGCTATCTTTTAGCAATGCATCATCCTGTAGGATTAAAATATTGCGGGAGTTCTATTTTGCGTTTCTTGAGGACTATCCCTAAAAAATGGTAAGTATTAAAACCTGCAGCTACATATCTTCATATAACAAATGCTGCAATCCAATTGGCTACACTACTCGCTTTCTATTCTGTGATTATGGCTGGAGTGAATGGCCTAACTGTGTGCGTTTGGAAACAAGATTTAATAAGAACACGAGACTGCATTATTGAACATCTAGTAGACTTATTCTCAAACAATCAAATTATTCGCTCTCGATTTCTTTGAGTAAAGACTAGTTTGGTCTTCTCCCTCGTCAACTATTATATAATAGAAATCTCGAGTTCTTTCTAGTTATTTCACAGTGAAGTGTCAAGAGAGATTATTCAGGGAAATAGTTACAGGAGTTCATACCTTACAAGCCTTTTTAATTAAATCAGTATATACATAGCTAAGCTCGACTTACGCTGCAGATATTTCTTAGCAAGAACCTCGTACAGCAGCCCAGCGATAAACAGTAATCCCAGAATGGCGACACCGCAGTACACAATCAGCTTGAAAGCACCTTCTTCGTAAAATAACTTCTCAGCTGCCATCACCTCTTCACTGATCGAGTCTGATGGATTCTGGAAACAATCAAAGCACGATTAAATGGTTCGAACTGAAGAGTAACAGATGATTATGTGGTGTGAACGTCCGGGTTAGGGTATTCCTTAACAGGGACTGTTGCCATTCCCAGTTTCAGGACTCTGGCGACGAAACTATTTTTGAAATTTTAGAGTTCGTCTGCATGGAGACATAACTTTTTCCCAGCCCATTTTTTTTTAGCAAGGAACTGTAAAAAGTAAAGTGGTGTGCATAGTGGTATCTCTCTCTCCTAAAAAAACATGTAAATGAAAAAACTTTTTATTACTTTTCAGCCGCCATGATCCACAACAGTAAACGCAGTTTATTTGGTGTTGATAATTTCTCCGAGGAAAGACCAAAAGATAAGTATTCCAACCGGAGCAAGTAAAATGGACCACATGATATTTTCACCCTCTTGAGTAAAGCGCGTAATTTAAAAACCTTGTTCAATCAAGCAAACAAGTTAACATGTAAACAAGTCAATTATTCCCTTGTCAAAACAAGTCAAAACAAGTCATCAAGCAAAGAAAAAACGAACAAAACACTTACTTTCAAGGGCTTGAGGTGATCAGCGATTCTCTGAAAAACTTTCCTCGGGTAGTTTTCAAGATAACTCCTGGCGCAATCTGCCATGCGCGTTGAATTTCCCGCCAAAACCATACCATACGTCACCGGATGTTCAATCGTTCGCTCAGTCCTGATTGGATGGCTTTTAATAAGGTCCAGGTGCGCAGTTATCGTGAAGCTGTCCACGAATGCTCCGTCAATTTTCGATTCGAGTAGAGCTTTCGTTACACCGTATATTTTGGGAAAGACTGTACATAGGTGGAAAAGAACACGTGAAAATCGTGACGTTTTTAATTTTAGATTGCTGTTTTCTCTTTAGTTTGGAACGGTTCTTGTGTTTATAGCAAAAGAAGATGACGCCTCACCGAAGCAATCATTGATCGAAAGATAGTTAAACTTGACCATCGTTAACAGAAAACTTCAACCAATACAAGATGAAATTTAAGATTAAGCTGAACCTAAAAACGGAGTGTTACTTAGTTACACGAGGCTGCGTGCGCGCTACATGCGCGGTTCGAGCCTCCCGATCTTGTTGTATAATTCACAAGTATTGCTGTAAGGAAAAATCAGGTGCTGGTCACTCTTTCGGGTTCAAGGGTGAATGAAACTCTATAACATATATATCTTACTCTTCATTTCTGCATTCATCAAAACTCCCAGCTTGTATTCCTCACTGCCATTTACGACTCCAATCTGCGATTGTAAAATAACGTAACAAAAGTAACAAGAGCTGTAAAGTATAAGCTTAACTGTATTTTAAGACGTCATTTGCAACTGACGTGAAAAGAGTGTGCATCATGATTAAACACAGTCGTTTCACCTATGCAGTTTAAAGGTGATCAATATTTTCTCACGCTATCATTTTATTATTTCAACCGATGACAAGCGAATATTTTTAACCCCTTAACTCCAAAGATGTGATTGGTAATTTCCTTGTAAATTAGTTGCGAGTTATGGTGCTAGATCAGGATGAAAAACTTTTACCTGATAATTTGGAGTATTTTCATAACCGATTTGCCGGAGGATGTATGGATATTATAGAGAGAAGTTATATATTGGGCACTTTTAGGGTTAAAGGATGTCATCAAAAACTATTTCGCCGCTTCACAAGCAGTCCTATGAGGAACATTCTCAGGATAGTTTTTTTTTTTAATAGGTTTGCCCCTACTGAAGCGTCGGCCATACCTGGATAATTCAGGAAGATCCTTACCTCCTCCGCTGCCCTCGCGCAAACATATATTAAGAGGGAAACGCGCCCTAAGGACGAGATTGTTGAAGTTAAAAAGAAAGAAAAAAAAAAGCAGATCAAATCTTTACTTACCAGCGATCCATGGATGGGGAAGTGAGGATGGGTCGTGGCTGCAAGCGAAGCTGTTACCATAGCAATAAAGATGGATATTATTACAAGACCGGTGATTATCCACACAATGCAAAACACTCGGCCAAGAAGGGATTTGGGAGAACGATCTCCGTAGCTGTTGAGAAAAGTGCCTGCAATTAATATTGCCTTGCATCTTGAGAAAAAGCACGAGACTGCTCAAAAGATTATTGAACAGGCGTTACCTACCCGACTGTTGTCATGGTAACCAATGCCCACCAGAATCCTTCCCAGACTCCTTTCCTAAAGGACTGAGGGAATTCTTGCGGATTTTGGCGATGATCCTTGAAAGTAAAAGATGTTTACAGAAATGATAGATAATTCTTTCGAGCATGGAACAGAGTAAAATCTGAGTCCCTCTTTTCAATTCGATACCGATTGATCTACTGAGATGTCCGGGTCAGAGAACTCTTTGAGTTGAATCCAAAAGCTCTAGTTCTTGCAATGATAATAATAATTGGATGATAATTATATTTTTAAGTTCAGTTGGTAGTTCATCGAATATCTTGGATACTCTACACGTAGGCGAACTTGAGGTATTTTCACTGACTTATACAGAGGAAAAAGGGTTGAGAAGGCGCCCAAGGGGAGAGGGGTGGACAACCCTAAATCTACAGTCAACAGACCGGTAAATATCATGTATATTGCTCACCAAGAACCAAATGATGATACCAGAGAAAGTAGCCGTAAGAAGAATAAACACCATGATGGGCCAGGCCTTCAGAATGGTCGTAGCAATGGCATGGGTCTTAGTGGTTCTTTCATTCCCATCATACGCCAGGAACACCACACTGGGTACGTGCACTAGCGGGATGAACGGGTGATCCCGAAACGACTTTGTTCCCTCGGGCGCGTGAACTGGAAAGGTAAAGTCGTATTCGTTTACGTCATCCTTTAGGAAACGATCCTCTGCCTCCAGCGGCGTTTTAAACATCTTGGCAAATTTTACTTTGTCCATCCCACCCTGACAGCAGTAGTCCAGTGTGTCTGCTAGTATAGAGGGGAACATACCACGGAGGTGGAGGGATTTACCTGCCATGGCAAAAGAGACGTAAGGATGATAGCTGTGAAACCCCACGGATATTGGACCTTCCGGATCTCCAAAACACCTGTTGTCCAAAGATACCTGCCTGGTTATATTCTTCAGCTTTTCAAGGTCGCCGCCTTCATTCTTCTTATTCAAGTCAAGTCGTTTCATGGAAATGAGAAAGCCGTCAGTGGAGTCATTCTTGATTTTCGACCATGGAAGGAAGAGGCCTTGAGCGAGGAAAAACTGTGACATGAGAAGAGCGGCGGAAATTACCACGAAGGACAGCTTCATGTTGCAGTGATAACCTGTGCAACAGGAAAAAAAAACAAATTCTCAATGTTTTCTCCTCTTAGAAGATACTGCTACGTAACTACCAGTATTGGTTTGTTATCGTTATAACTCCAATGCATCTCAATTTTGATTGGATCTCAGGATTTTAGGGGTTAATGGTTACAGCGCAATTTTGAAAAGTGTGGGGAGTTATTTCGCTGAGTGAAAATTGCTACTGTAAAGCATCAATCGTTATTGCTGCTCACAAATATAGAGTGAAAATAGTTCAAACCCTTAGAGTTAAAATTTTTTTATCGCTAAATAGCAAATCGTTTCAATACAAAATGATAAATTTCCAGTGTTAAATCTCAATCGTTGACGCTTACATCAAATCGCTGGTTTAAAAAAAAATCGCTGGCGTTTTAATCTGAGTCATCAAAGCTACACCGTCAACGACTGTAGTTTTAAATTTGCAATTTGATGCCAGTAAAGAAAACTCTGCGTTCGAGCCAAGAGGCTCACAAGGCGCCGCAAAGCTTATCCAATCTCCATAACGGGAAGATACAAGGAAGGCAGTTACTTCCCCTTGGATGCGATGTTAGTTCCTAACAAGTTGCCAGTCAGCACTTACGATTCGTTTTAACACCAGCGATTCATATTTTAGTCACAATTTGTATTTTTAGGCGCAAAAAGCCCTGTATAAAATACACTGGAAGAAATGCATCTGGCACAGTATACCAGGGTTTTTCAACTTTTAAGCTACGACTACACAGTTAACAAGAGAAAACAATGGGCCTTATCCTCCTTCACTAGCAGGAAGCAACTTAAATAACTACTATTCCACCTTAATGGAATGCCAATCCAATTTTCTGTGTGTGTTTCCTAATGATTTTCTGGTTTAATCATTTATACTCGCAGTTGTAGAGAGGCGCTGTAAGTTTAAAGTGTATTGTACGAGAGGTCTTCGCGATGACTATGGCGAAGACTCAAGTGCGCCGACGCGTCTCCTATTCCGATTTCAACATCATTTTATTATACTTTTATGCCGTTCTGTTGATTTTGTTTCTGCTTTAAGAATACGAAAATAATTGGAGCCTTTTTATATTTGTGTTTCACTGTGGGAGACGCTCTAAGTTAGCATTTGGTGCGTAGGACTCCTAATCCTAATGTTTGGGTTTAAAGCGTAGGAAGGCCGAAGTGTTGTATCTTTGAGTAAGACACTAAAATCTCACAGAGCTTCTCTCTATCCAGGAAGACAAAGAGTACCTGTGAACTTTCGAAGGAACCGAAAAACTTAACAGGAGAACTTGCCGTCGAGTAACGGAATTGGAAACGAGATAATCTGAATTTTTTAACTGTGCTAATCGATCTGTCTTGTATACAGACTTATCTATTTTTGTATTTGAGGTTTCGTGATTTTAAATGACTCCGTAAATGAAAATGTTGTTTATGAACACTTAAATAGAGAGCCTTGGAATATATGTAAGACCTGTTAATTGAAACGATTATTGAACATACCTAATTATTCATGAACTTGGAGCTCATAAGTCTCATATGATGTCAAATTTTGATGAAGCCTCATTAATTTAAGAGTTACTCCAAGAATAAGGTTTAATAAATGCTTGCATAATTAAAAAGGATTGAAAAGGAGAATGAGTATAGGAATCGAGCGTTCAAAGATTTTTGACTTGACGTTTATGTGGATTCAAATGAACGAGAAAAATTTTTGTTTTTAGGGCACTTGGAGCTGATACCCCGCAGAGCACACTACCTTAACAGTTTAATTGCATAAAAAGAAAGCTCCACTCGACCAAAGTTCACTAATTACTCGGCTTCGGGTGAAAAAAACCCACGCCAACAGTGAATTATTAAGTCTAGTGGCTGCTAGAAGCCCTTTGAGTCGTGACATACCGCAAGAAAAAAACCTCTCAGATTTGGTAACATCAATATTGCTTCTTGTTACGTTTAGAATGATACGGGGTAAAACAATCTTGCGAACAGAAGAATATCTTTGATATTTTACTTTCCAACACTAAAGCGTGGGCTTGTTTACCAGGATTCCTTTGGGATGATGATTTTCCTCAGTTATTATTCAAGACATCTCTGGCCGAAGGAACACTCGAAGGAACAATTTAGCTATAGCTGACACTAATAGTTGCGGTTTTCATTGTTTGTTTGGTTTCACAAGTTGTTAAAGCCAAAATATCGATGTTTGCGGTAGATAGTTCTGGTTCTGAATTGTTTTTTATAGAAAAATTCATCTTCGTTCCCACAAACACAAACAACTATGTTAATCAGATTTTTTTGGAAAATTTATTGGGTCAAGCTCATTTTTTTCTTTAGCTTACTCAAATTAAAAGAAGGTTGGCTTAGCTTATTTCGTCGTGCCATGCTGAGTGATTGAAATTTTGAAATTGTCAGTACAGTGTATCATTTAAGCTTTCGATTTTAAATCGCGAAAAAATTAAAAGGATAGATTTTACTACACTAAGAACCCGTTGCGATATGCATTATCAACTGAAACAATAGATTGGTAACGGTGACCGGATCTATGTAAAGAATATATAAATCTCAAACTAAGGAAAAGAGAAATATAACGATGTGAAAGTGGAATTTTTTTAATACTATGGAAAACTTCAGAGTTGAATGCTGACAAATGCTAAAGTAAACTGACGAACATTTTTAGGAAATTTTTCCTCCTAGCTTATTAAAGTTTCTGAATTGTGAAAAGAACTCACGCTGGCCGAAAGTTACGACCTCAAGCTATTAAGCTGTGAAAAACAAGCATCTTGTAATTTTCATATCCTACGTTCAGCTAAAACTTCAGTATCCAGTAATTTCCGTTTGCTCGTAAGACTAAACTGATCCGCGGTTAACTCATCGAATTTCAACGTTTTCGATTTCGTCACAAAATGTCGTTACGCGTATCGATCGTTTTGTTTATTTTGGAATGAGTACCTTGTACGAGCGTGAGTGCTCGGTGGAGACATACTAAAACATTGCCTTACCTCCAATGACTACGACGTAATTCTTCGGCTCAGGTTATTTCACCCTCAAATGTTTGCTCTGAGATAAGAAGTGTCTCCTCAAATGTTTTCTTTGAGTTTTGCCTCCGTTAATTGTTTGCGAGATTTACCGAATGAATCGCGCTGAAAACAAAATGTGGTCAATTTATTACCCATATCCTACCCGCGAACACCATGCAATATTAATAAAAGTTTATTATAATTGTCGCCACTCAAACCTGAATTATGCAATGTCTGCAAGGGGTCCAAGTATAGAAGACGATATACCCTGAGGGAATGAGATTGCAGATTGGAGAACATCCCCAAACATCGAACCCAGGCTTGAAGAAGGAAACCATGATAGCTTAAGCATTATTTGTAAATTGTTCATCAGGGGAAACCAAATTTCAGAGGATGATGGCTTTTAAGCATATTGAATACTTTACAAGCGCTAAATATTGCATGTGTATAAATCACTCTTCGGAACAAACTGAATTTTAAAAAAACTAATCAGGAAAAAAAAATCAACAGACTTTAAGGCGTCTCAAATAAATGTTTTTATAAAACCACCAACGATTTCGTCGGGAAAGGAACATTATTAAAAAAATTATTAATAAAAACGTGAATATTCACACTTAGGAGCTGTTTAATTACGTATTGAAAAGCGGCAATCATATCCTTTTGGAACTCATGCTTAATTTTACGCCACCAAATATTGTGAATGAAAAATTTCATGACGTATGCGCTTGAGAAAATCGTTCATTAACATGCTGGAAAGTGGTGCAAACATAAGGCAACACTTATTTTATTTTGGTATAAAATGGCTTGCCAGATTTGCCCCGAGGGAGTTGGACGCCTTCTATGGTCATCAAGCTGCCTTAAAGCATCTTTGATATTACTTTCCTCTCAGTTACGAAGTCGAGCCTTCAGATTACTTCCTATCGACAGCCATATTGAGAAGTTAGAGTTTTAACTTTTGTGGTACTCCTCCACAACTTTTAATGGCATCAACGACAACACCATTGAATTGTTGATCGTGAGGATGTGATAGATTATTTGGATTATAAACCTTTGCAAATCTCAAAATATTAGAATTCCACTATGAATATCTCATTGGCGCCAAGCAGGGAACTTGTGGAACGTACCCAGTTCTGACCCCTTCCGATGTATCATTTATTGTCTTTTAAACCAAACGCTCCCTTCGCTTTATGTTAGAGAGTTTTTAATTTTGTCCTCGCTATTCTGGAAATTTTAAGATAGTTATGAATTATAGATAGACATCATGTTAATGGCCCCTTCAAAAATTACCGATCAAAAACTTAGATATATTATTTATGCAAGAATATTTTCCTTTTCCATTCCCATTCTTGTGGTTGCAATCAGCTTAGCCTGCGAGTGAACAGCTCCATTTACGGTAAAGATAACGAAAATATAAAGCTGGAGATCGAAAAAGAAGGCTACCCAAGTAACTTAATTGAACTTTTTTTTTCAGTACAGGAAACTTAATTTTACTTGCATAGGACGAGAGACGTTAGACCCCTTAAAAACCCCACAGGCATTTTTTTCTATCGTTAAGATATGATTTCTGAAAATTCTGTCAATGAAGAATTAGAACTAATCCTTCACAGTATTTTATAGATGTATTATTCTGTAAATGTTGTGCATATTGCAAGAGATGTGTTTCGTTTTTTAAAAGGCCTGAGTGAGTTGCACCCCTGGTTAAAATATAGGTAAAGAATGCGTAAAAGGTATTTTAGATGCAAAAATAACAAATCGCCAGTCATACAGTTTTGTTTGGAGACTTGTCACTCGACTAATGGCTCAGAGAGAAATTTAAAGACAGTATTTTCTACTTCACCACAAAATATTTAATTTGCGCTCTTCAGCCGCTTCCTGACCCGCAATTCGAGGTTCAGTAAGCGTAAACAGAAGCACATAGGCTTCTGAAGAAAAGACACTTTCTTATTTAGCTTTATTGCTACCATAAAAACTCGCGTGCTTCTGTCGATAAGGTGGCTTAACGTGCGCAATTGAGTATCTATATTTCTCGAATATAATTCTTTTATTTTTCACTTTTACGAAAGGTTCTAGTTCTTGCTTCTTTTCAGAAATAACGTAAGGAAACATGTCTGTTGAGTGAACTTCTCCTCGAACGAGTTTCTCTATTACATTTTGTGCGTCTTGGAAGAAAGGACCTAACTTTCTCAAATTAGCAATTTCCAATTGGTGTAAATCTTCCACAATGTTAACCACGTTCTTGTGGGTTTATTTCCCACATTTTGGTGCAAATAATTTATTGTGGTTACCCTCACGCTGAAAGTTATTCTGCACCTCACAGAAAGCAAATGGGAAACTATACCTGAATCAGATCCGTCCACTTTTGTTAAACATTTACGTCACTCACCTTCTTCTCTTTCGAGGAGTAAATAACTCACTCTGTTTCGCAACAGGCTCCAAGCTTTCGTTTCTGAATCACGTTCGGATATATAGATCTATATACACTCAACTCGATTTAGATTAAGCTATCCGTCATAATGTATAGTATTATCCTGTAATCTTGCAGACTTTATGTTTTAAACCTCAAAAATACATGGCACTCATCGGTGTTTGATGTAAATACGAGTCCAGAGTTGTGGGAGGCAATACATATATCATGTGAAACATCTCTTTTTCCGGAGACTTTTATGTAAAGCTTTGTAAACAAACATGATGATAAAAAAGCCGACAGTCACTTGTGTCCGGATATTGAGTAGATTACCTTCACTTTCCAACCATAAAGAATGTCTCTCTACGTGAATTAGAGCCTTAAAGTTAAGCTACATTTCATTCAGAATTCTTGAGTCACGGAAGAAACTAGAACAAAGTTTCTTTTAAAAAAATAATTAGTCAAAAACCAAAGTCTTCCAAGAAAATAAAATTATACTTAAAAAAAATGAAATTGATAAACATTTTTCACTTAACTTAGATGAATTTCTTAAGATTAAACTTAAAAAATTCTTCAGATGTGTTTATTTAAATGAACGAATCGAGCGCGCTAATGCAGCAGAGTCTGCAAAATGAAAAAAATCTTGAGAAAATTAGTTTGTAAAAATTTGCAAGCAAGGAAATTAGACAAACTATTCAGCAGTTATATACATTGTATCGATTATTATGTAAACAGAAATGCTCTTTTTGTTGTAACAAGGGTTATATCTTCAAGTATAGTTTTAACTTCAGAGGTATATGAAAAAAAAATGTTTTTGAGATGGCATTTCCGTCGGTGTGCGGTTAGTGCGAGAGTGCGAGGGATGGCTGTAAAGGTAAACCAGACAAAACAACAGCGGGATCCTTGAGTAAGACCGATAAATTTCAAATGTATGGTCGAGTATCTGAAAAGAAATTCTATTTGAAGCACTCCATGTGGCATGGGATTTGGGTAGAAGATTACAATGTCAAGTTAAGTTCAGGCACATCTTAATGACAACGTCTAAAAATCGTACCATCGTTAAAATGAAAAGGAAGCAAAACGCCTTGAGCGACATAAAAAATTACTTTTGACGTGAGAAAACCACAAAATGTAAGTTAGGTAAGATAAGAAAAAAAAAAAAGCCGAAACGGTGAGCGCGGAGAAGATTGATACGCATTGCAAATGGCGAACTTGTAAACCTAAAGATAATTTATTGACGATAGCCAGTCAATAACATGGCCGCTTTAACATAAGAAGCTCTATTCCGTAACATTTGATCAAGCTGCACTTCCTTTTGTTTTCAGACATCTCGGGGACTGTTGCATATTTTATCAGTTAAATCATTTCTCGTTCGTCTCTGTTAAAATTGCGAATTAGCCGAATTTAATTGAAGATTTTTGGATAACAGACACCTTTAAAGAACACCGTCGTACAGAAAAACCGCATAAGTATGAAGTACTTTTTAAACTACTAACCAGAACTGATCAAAGGTCGAAGTCATATTTTTATGTTATCTCTTGCTGAATATGCATCTGAACAGATGTAGGAAACTGGTCAACTCGCTCAAAGAGACATAATTTTCTCTCTAATGTTGAGTTTGAAAAACCTCTATCACCCATATTTACAAAAAGTCGGGGCAGATGGTGTTTCAAACGGAACCAACATTTGTTTACATTTGGTAAAAATAGTTATATAATTAAAAAATATGTAAAACGTCTTCCTCGAGTCTCTTGAGACAAATCGAACTTCACACTCAGTAGAATTTCGCGTTCTGATGCTTCGTGAGCACATTTTGGTGAACTTGGCCACAAAGTACCCATTAAATAGCTTTACATAGGACAAGCTGCGTGCATACTGCTAGAATTAGCGACTCAGCTGAACGTCACTTGCGAAGTCAAATCAATCTTAGAAATGAACTTAGTTTGTCTAAGAAAAAGAATTCCCGGGGTTTCGTTTTTGAGCTCATTGCCTCAAATGTTACACGATTCTCAGCTCATTTGCTCCAACTGAAATAGCACGCGATTAGACGGCCTTGCCTACAAGTTCCCTACCTTGAATTCCACAGATCACAGCCGATTCCAACAGAGTGATTCGCCTTGTGCCGTGCGGAATGTCTCGCCTCTCTTTCTTAGGTGGTTTTTAAATTGTGATGAAGCTAATCGCCTCCCTGGAATTTCTTGTAAATTATTTGGCTGTGGGGAAATTTGCGTTAAATATTAATAATAGAAAAAATAGAGGTTACAGATATTGTATCATGTGAAAATTGGATAATCTTATTTAATTCTTGCTTTTTTTTAAACTCTTTCTTTTCGAGAAAGACATGCGATTAAATGTTTTTATTCACATTTTAAGCAAATGAAGTTTTATGGATTTTGAGCCAATCAAATTCAAAACAAATGTCATTTTATCAAACAGAGGCACACGCCATAACATGGGAAGCTCCGAGCGCCGAAATACCATTAAACTATTTCTTAGAATAAACACAGAGTCACAAAACTAATTAACCAATAGGGGGATTTCCATCTTTAACCAATGATATTCTCACATGAAAGACAAATATCATTAGAAATTCATTCTAATTTCCAAACCGCATAATTGAAAAATTGTAATAAGGCGATAAAGTTATTTGACACGTTCGCAAGGAAAGAAATATCGATAACTGCTTGTGCAATGGAATGTGAGGATTTATTTAAAAAAAAGATAAAAATATTAATTTTTGTTTTGACTGAACCAGACCCAGTTACTACGATCAATTGTTCAATTTTGAATTTTTATTTTTTGTCATTCTGAGCATGATATTTACTATTAGATACTTAAAATGATTTAGAATCTCACCGAGAACATTATTAATATTTACTCTTTTCATTTATTTTATTCATGATTTTCTTGTTCTATTGTATCTTTTTGTCTTACCACTGTCAGTTTTGAAGAGGCAGATCCCGGCGTAAAATTGTCCTGAGGAACATAAAATTTATTGCATTAATGAAACACGTAATCTCTCTATATTCTCTCGTCAAGTATTTCGTAAAGTGAATACAAGGGGCTAATATTTTATGTATGCTGTTTCAGTCGAATGTTTTAGGGATATCGCATTATCTGCCCATGCAACCGGTGAGTGGGCACTACAGAAGTTATTCTGCAAAATCTAGAGCATTCCTCCATCAAAATTGATAATTTAAGCTTATATAAGGAATAAACATCCTCGATTTTAATTCCTCTGCGTACCTGAAGAGCCAATGAAGATATTATTTATGCATTTTCAAATCAATTTTTAGCTTTTAAAATTCAGCTTAAGATGTGAGTTCACGCAAGTTACTATTATCAGGAGAGTTATCTTAATAAACTTAATGCTATTAAAAGTGTCGTTGAAGGCCAAATTTTTCAAGGAAATTATTGCCAATGGTTATAAGAGCTTACTTCTGCATCAAATTAGAGAACTATTTGTTTTGTATGGTAGTGTTACTTTATTTTAGGTTCAATATAAATACAGTTTGAGCGAAAAAGCTGTGATCTTTCTTTTAGCGAGGTTTCAGATGTGTTACTGATAAGAAAAATCAACATTTGGCGCAATAGTATGGGTTATCTGGCTTTGATAAAGCTTTTAGTTACAATTAAATCGTTCAAAACTTTCACTTAAGAATATCGTCTCCTTTTTTCAAATATTATCGCCTCTAGGATAGTTACCAGTCAAATTAATGATCATTACCAACTGAACTCTCTAACGCGAAATAAAATGGCAGAGAATCTGAATTTCATAACATTTCTTTACTTTTTATCAGACTTTTTGCAAAGGAAGTCGTATAAACAGCTGTTGTTTACATTTGATGTTTTCAATCCATTAGGCACTTCTTGATAAAGTCAAATGTTAGTCCGACGATTGCTGTGAAGCGATTTATAATGTCATGAGTACAGACAGGAACCCATTACTAAAGTAATGGGCTCCTGGTAAAGAATAGAAAATTAAACCATTTTCAACAAAGAATTCACGCTATTCACTTAATTATTGAGGACGTTTCTTCATCAGAAGCTTTTAAAAAGCGGCAATTTTCAGTTTTACTGTACGTTAAGTGACACTGTCCCTTGTTGACAAAGTTCAACCGTCCACGATACCACAAATGGCCGCTATCGTAGATGCCGTATTGGAAGCCATCTCAGATGACGTCATAGGTTTTGGCGACTGCTCAGTCTCAGAAAATTCGCTTTTCCTCCATAACACAACTAGCTACAACTATAATCATCATGATCATTGAAAGAGTCGTAGTTCGATTATTTTTCTTTGAATGTCACAGTGAGCGTTGTTACAGATACGTTTTTAAACCCCTCAGTGAAAACAGACATGACTGATCTCATTATAGCAACCGGTATCACTCATTGCAATGTTTAGGTTTAATCTGCGATGTCGCCGACTGGGAGAGAAGCCCGCAGACGGCGTTGATTACTCTACTGGACTCTTCCAAACACAACTAAAAACAGCCACGGGTGTCACAAATACATGATTTAGGATAAGGGACGAATCGGGTTTTATAGGAACCCCGACATGGATTGTGTTATCTTAATCTTCTACATCCCCTGCCATCCTTGTTCACTCTCGGTTCATCCTTCTTACCGTTCAAATATCTTTTAGCCCTGTCGAAGTTAAAACTTCTTTTAACCGTCCCAAAAAAAATTATTCAAAATATTACGACGTAGCGCCTATAATCTAACAGCAAAAGGTTGATTCAAACGCACTGCCCAATACAAGACTAGGTGTTTAATTGCTGATATATTTTACTCATTTATGTATTTCCGTTTTTAAATCACTAACAAATGAGAGTTTTTGACAAGTAATCAGTAACAAGCTTCTTTCTCAGTGGACAAAATTGAATTTTACGAGAAGATCGGCAATCGCGCGGACAAGAAAGAAAGCAACAAATGGCGTCTTTAGGGGTTGACGGCATTTAAATAAACTGAACTAAAGAAGGAAATCAGCAAAATTTAACTTATTGTCTTTTTTGTTCTCATTCCGATCCTAGTTTTTCCTATATGTGTCAGATGTTCCGATGTAAAATTTCGAAAAGGATGCGTACTATAAATTGGGATTGCACTGATGTATTACCCATTGGTTTTTGACACTACTGTATTCAGCCACCGTGGAACACTGGTGGCTGAATCTCCAGGAATAGTTTGTCAAATTAAGCTGTAATTCATTTCATTTCTGCCAAAACTCAACCTAGCTTTCTCACAGTTTTCTATTCACTTCTTATATACAAATACGAAGAAACTATTCACCACTGAACACAGTTATGAAGGAAGCGATGAAATAACGTAGTTTTACGAAGTTGATTGGGGATAAAAAAATTGGCTTATGGGCTAAGGTACATGAACAGTGTTGTTTTTGTTCACAATGCTAAAACTTGAAAGAACAGTCTGTAGATTAAAAGAACGCTATCCGATACAAGCATAACCAGCTAACACAATATAAACAATATTTTGATACTGTTAGTTTACTTTAAGCGGTTTAAAATGGATAGCATTTTAATATGAATTTCAGTACGAAGCCACTTTGTGCTTTTATAGCTTTGAAAACGCTACATGTTTTTATAAACTGGAGGAGGATGAAGCCACTGAAAACGAAGTAAATAAAAATCGCCAAAACATATTCTTCCCCTAGCCTTTTCAGAGCTTTTTTTTGCAAAATGAGAGCTTATAAGCAAGAACAATGATATATCTTACCTATAATCACCTGCACTTTTCACAACAGTGAATCACTTGAAGAAATACATCTGATTTCTGGAAATCATCTTGCCAGAGTTTTGCGCTTGAATAGAGTAGTGATATCTCGATGTGGAAAATATTCTTTATTTATAACGGTAATTGTGATTGTCCAAGGCCAGCCAAAATAATACCATTATGAGTTGTTTTCGATAAGTTTTTAAGAAGGAAGGCTATTGTCTAATTAATTACCAAAAAAATTTGCATGAAACACACTTATCAGTTTTGTTATTGTTTATTTTACACCGCCACCTTAATTATGAGGATGACCACAACACGGAAACCAATACAAACTGCTGGAAAAAGATTCAGCTGTTTCGTGCGGGAGTGTTTCAGCCCTGTATTTCAAGCCAGAGTTTTTTTTTGGTTTTTTTGTGATAACCATAAAAGTTCGCTTTTAGCCTAGGGCTCAATTTCGGCAATTATCTGTCTCGTGTCTTAATTATAATTTACACAGCCAGGGAAAAGAAAAGTATTCAAACCATTCTCACCAGTCAATTCCGTAAAAGCAATTATGACTGTGACTGCGAAAAACATGATGAAAGTGAGACATCATCATCATCTAGCTCTACATCGTCCGCTGAGGCGAAATTCCGGATAATAGATATGCTTGCAAATATTTATTTTTATTTCGCATCTCGCTTGGTTGGTGAGCAAACAGTGTTCTAGAAAGATATATCAATTAACTGCAGGACGCAATTCCGGTATCCACATTTGAAAACAAATTTAATTACTTGGCAGCTGTTGATATTGTCGTCTTTATGGCGGTGACGGATATTCTTTTCATCATACCTCATATTCATATCTAAATTGATGCTTTCGTTAAATTAATCTTATTGTTTTGCCTTCTTTCAACAGACTAATTAAACCTTTTGTGGCGTATTATGACCTGAGGAAATTTTTGACAATTTTGGAAGATGTTTATTTGGCTGTGTAAACTGGCTGTTGTTTAACTACTCATCTTTACTTGAAATCGCAAAGCCAACTGAATTGTTTTTAATTTTACTGGAAACTTCCCATTCTAATAAAATTTTGATATTCAAATTAATATGTAATAAACTTCTTTTTTGAAAAGTAGCATCTATTTAGGCAACTATGGAGAAAAACCAAAAATGAAGCTTTTAATCGACGTTTACCTAAAATTATCAAGAAACTTGGGTGGCAACTTTGAAATAAGGGTAGCAACTTTCTGGCATTCTAGTGGCAAACTTTTCAGCACAATCGGGACAGGCTTAGGCCTCTACACAGACTTGAAATTTGAGTGATCAACAGTTCGAGCCAAAGACAGTTTTGTCTATACCATTTCCTGCGATATGATTGGTCTTCACAAAACCAAAACAAACTGACGTGGCTGAGATAGGATTGGAACTATTCTCTTTCTTGCTAACTTTTCCTTAGTGGCTATGCTGTAATGCGAAGGGGACGGTAGAACAGAATTGACAACAAAGTTCAAGATAGATATCACTGACTTATTTATTTCTATGTTGAAAATCTAATTTTCGACAGACATTTCAGTTCGGTTCTCTCACCCTGCATGTGTTGCACGTACACTAACGTACTTTGCACGCACTTTTGTCATCTAATTCGATCCGTTTCCGGTGAGATGTCCATAGGTCACCTCGTGGAAGGTAGTGACGACTGAAAGTATATTTATACTTCTGTCTCATCGGAAATTTCAACGTGAATGTTTTAAAAAAAATTTCTCGTATTAGAATTCGACTTCTGCCGCTCGACTTCTGCTTTTAAATGTGAAGCACATATATTGAGATTTACCGTAATATTTTTCGTTTTTCTCAAACAAAATCGTACACCGTTTCATAAAAATGACAGCACGTGTGTCTTCAACCGCCTCAAAAAGTCATCGCAGCTCGACTTAAATTCATGACTTCTCGCACATATTTCAGCCGACGCCGTTCAAACCTGTCGCTCTTACGCGACATTCTCTCTGTACTCTCAAGTGAACTAGGTCCCAAGGGCCATACATCTCAGAGACAAAAACGTGGGGCTTGCCCAAGTTTTTGAAATCGGACCGTGACGTCATATTTCATGACACACCTGTCTATGGCCCAGACTGATGGACAAAATGTCTATTTCCCCACAAATGATAGAAATTTTACTTTATTTTTAGAAAACTCGTTTTAAGCAAAAAGAAAGCAAAGAGAAGTTTCAAAAAGGAAGAAAAATACCTGGGCATTTCTCTCTCCATGGAAAAAATGATAAATGTAAAAAATTTTCAGGAAAGTCGACAGGAAAAAGGGGATACCTTATTTGCAATTCATCACATGGAGCTGTCCTTCAGCGAAAGGGGTCTTGGATTGTTCCAAACGTATTTTGTCACGAAGTAACACAATTGCTTTCTTACCACTATAGAAATCTTTCAATTTAGTAAATTTTCACGAACAATTCAAGTCTCAAGAACAATCCACTATCCAAAGTCATCTGCTTAGTCAAACAGAAACATAGTAGTCTGAAGTAAATATAAAGTAAAAGAAATGTATGTATAAAAAATGCGTCCATAGAGGTAAGAATGCGTGTTACCTGGTGTGTAACATTGTCCAAATGCACATGCTTGATAAAGAATAGCTTCTCTGAAGCCGTCCGCCGTTTAAACATTTGCTAATATCCTTGGTTTCTATCGCTTCTATTAGTTCTTTGTACGATTCGTTTCCTTTATTCTTGACCGGAAACGCTCCACTGCACTCTTAGTCAGACAAACTTCCTCACCCTCCCCCCCCTACCCCCGACCCGGTATTAAAAAATTATCTAGTTTCCAGATGGTCGAGCTGTAGTCGTGGGCGCGCAACGAGTGCTAGAGAGGTCATCGAGGTCGCGGGTTCGAATCACGCTATAGGAGTTATTTTTAATCTGGCTTGGGGGCCGAATAACTTCTCCCCGTGGAATTTGCATTTTGTTTTTGCTGTCTTTTCTATTTTTTTTTCTTATTATCATGATATTTATCTTCTTCTTTCCTTTTTTTCTTCTTTTCCTTTTTTGGAGCTGGCGGACAAAGAGTAACTCTCAAACTGGCTTGGGGGCCGAGTAACTCCTCCCCGTGGAATTTGCATTTTGTTTTTGCTGTCTTTTCTATTTTTTTTTTCTTATTATCATGATATTCATCTTCTTCTTTCCTTTTTCTCTTTTTGTTCTGAGTAGTTATCCACTGTGGTATTTTTACTGATACGATTTTGGCATGTGTCGGTTGCTTTTTTTTTTCATTTTTTTTTGTTTTTGGTTTTGGAAATTGCACATCTCCCGATGGGGCACAAATAACAGTTGATTTCAAAAGTGTTGAGGACCTGAAAACGTATTCTCGTTCATAGGGGTCGAAGTGTTGGAATAAGTCCTTCAGAGGTAAGAAAAATTTCAACGTTGGGTGGGAAAAAGAAAATACTCAAATAACAGGTGTGACCATGCAGATGAAAATCGTAGATGTATACGGTGAAGGAATATAGATGGGAATATTTTGAACTGCTTTATCGCTCAATCGGTTTACTAATGGGCTCCTGGTTTACTCCCAGAAGTGATCAACAAGTAACAACATCGTATACTCCCATACTCAAAAGTTGTCATCAAGTAGAAGTTTTTATTTTGATCCAACACCAGATTCCCGTTGCTAATTAATTATATAATTTACAAAGAAATGAGTTGCTGCTAAAGGGGAGAATTAACAATCAAATATTGGGTGTGAAAGAATTAAAATAATCCATGTCTTTTAAATGGAATATTTGAATTAAATAGTTTGCTTATAAGTTACTGAAGAAAATACGTAGAGGTTATCATTTAGTCATGATGAGTGTTAATTAAGAGTTTTTCTGCGGACATACAGCGTAAGACCAATACCTGATCTTGGGCTTTGACAGGATGGTTCATATAGAGTATCCACGCCAAAACTGTTGACGCTAGCAGATCTAGAACCATTATGACACATACCGTGTCCGAGACTTAGGGTTGACAGACAATCACAGTTATTGTCATCCAACAGCACCGACTTGACTCCATTCTCCTCACGGTACATGAATGCACGTTGGTCATTTCTCGGCTCGCTACCGTTCAGCACTTCTGGATTCCACGCAGGTATGCTGCCTACGCTCTCCCCATGATCTACCTCCTGGTGATCATGAAACGCACGCCAAGCTGCACTGGCAGCTGGAACGTTAGAGCTGAAACTCCACTTGTACGTGGTACCTTCTGAGTCAACTGCAAGCATTTCAGTGTGATCTGCTTTAGCATCTGCGGGGAGCCGACCAAAGCAGTACGGATCACGTAGCTCGCAGTAACCAAAGTCGTAAGCGAGGACGTCTTTTTCATCTGATGGCCACATGGTACCAACGTCATACCACCAGAAGGCTATCCAGTCTCCATCGGTGGAAGGAAGAATTCGACCTACGAGTGCAAACAATGAAACACGCTAAAAAGGCCTGGATGTACCACGAAGAGGTAACTAAACCTGGCCAGCGATTTGTATGACTCTCTTTTTAGCTGATTTGGTTTGAAAAAGTAACAACTTTCATAACGATAGCTCAAAGGTTTTCTTATCGAATCTATCGAGTTTATAGTAACATCTGCATTTGTTTCATGACTCCAGTGACATGATGCCTTAACCCTGTAACACCCAGGATCTCCGCAGCAATTATCCCTATCGCCCGCCATACTATTCTTATAATGTCAGTTTAGAGAATTTGTTATTGAATCAACTATTAATCCCCTGACTGATATTTTCTTTATTTTTATGACTTGTCTGCTTAAATTTCTTGCCTGAAATTCTGTCTTGGTCACTGATAAGAATAAAAGGGTAAAGAGCTTACACCTTCCCACCAAGGGCGTTGAAAAATTCAGCCGTGTTACATTCGTCTGCCTATCACATGAAGTCTTAGCTTTCAAGTTATGACTCACATGGCTTTCAGAGTCCTCTTTCATCAATTCTACATGCATTAATAAGCCAAATTCAACTTAAGTGATCATGTACTTTAAAAAAAAGTACGCCTTGCATTAAACACGAACCGAGACCAGCCGGTTAAAAACTATTTTCTTTTTGTACGAAACTTGAACCGCTCTACCTCACCTTTTTCACAGTTTTTCAAAACGTTGTAATCCCAAGGACAATGACATCGGTAGGTATTTTTTGGGTAGTCTGGGATACATTTCCCCTGTTTAAACATGGCTCATTGTCACAAA